AAACTTTAAAGAACCAAACAATTTTGAGGAAAACACCGTGTAATTATTAAGTTACCTAATTATAAACCAATATACTGGGGAATTCCTAACCAATGAAATTCTTTGTGACACTTTATAAACCTCAATCGTAGGCTATGTTTTGACATGGGGTAACTAAATTATACCACATTTTAGGTAGACATCCTTTTTTAACCTTCTGACTACATTTTATCATTTTACTATCACCTTTGTTTCAACTTCTCACACACGTATATTATGTACATATCCTTATTTGTTTTAACATTTTTTTTTAAAAAATCAGCACTTACAAATGTACAAAATATCAAAAAAAGATGGATGCAGTATAGATAGATAATAAGATAAACACTGCACAAAAATGAGTTCCATTTTTTTGGTTTTACCACAAGGACCAAAATTGCTAGATGTTTCACATTTGTTTTCTGTTGGCACACAATGATTTCTTAGTCATTAATACATAGTGGCATTTTTACCTATAATCTCCTTAATTTCTTAAATGGACTTGTACAGCTTTCATTTTTGGAACTGTCCATTATCAACTTTGGGGATATCAAGATGGAAATTAAAAAGTTGACCAAACAACTGTATTGAGCTCGACTATACAAACATACAGGCTGACCTGGCTCTATACTGATGTAAAAGGCCAATCACTTTTGGTTCCAGCAGTGTTAATCTAACATAATTGAGTGGGAAACAAAAGATTCACAAAATAATGTGAATTTTGAATATTGACAAAAAGAATGTATTTTTTTGCTACTTAAAACTTACTATTAATTAAAAGACAGACATTTCAGTTTAGGCCAAATTTAATAGAAAATCCAAAAAAAAAAAAAAAAAAAAAAATAAGAAGAGCAAAGGTTTCTATGTCTATGAAAAATCGCATTGAGCAGTAGTTTACTAAAAATTATGGGAGGGGTAAAAATCAAATTATTGATCATTTAATACTTGTACATTTTGAGTATCCAAATAAAAAAAATACATGTATAAACATAAAAAATATGAGCACATAGAATTATAAATAATTATATAGAATTTAAAGGCATTCGCTACAGTTTTGATATAAACATAAAAGCAGAATTAAAACTGTATAAAAATTTTTTTCTAAACTTTTACATGATTTGAACCAAAAATTAGAAAAATTACTATAAAACTAAGTAGAACTTGTATTTTTTCCGCTTAAAACGATTCTGTTATAACTTTTTGATCATACAAAGTAAATAAAAATTCAACTATTCACTTTTTATTCTGCCTTTATGTCTATATTGAAACTGATGGAGATGCCATTAATGAAGAATTTGTATCAGATTTTAGATATATTTGTAATTTCTTGTGTCTATTTCACAAATGTAATCATATGCACCTGTGAAAAACAATATTTCCTTGATTCCGGCAAAATCAGCATATCGTGTTATACAAACATACATGTATTACACAGGTATCTAAAGTAAAAATAATTTTAAATTTTGCATCAGTTAACAAAATGGTTACAATTGTAAAACTATACCTTTAATGTGCTTTGGTTAAATCTGTTAAACAATATATATATGGAGTCTATGACGAGGATAAAGTAGTAAACATTGTCTTTGAAAGGTATTAATCCTGACAACGCTAGATATCTTAAATGGACTTGCCCATCTTTCAATTTGGACAACACCATTTATCATTTTTAGGGTAAATCTTAAAATATGTACTGACTGAATAGCAAACAGTGCAGACCACGATCAGACATCGTAAATGTGCTGTCTGATCTTGGTCTGCACTGGTCGCATGGGTAGAAGAGTTAACTAAAGTTAAAAGTTAAGTTTGAATCTAGCAATATATTAATAGCACACACTGAGTCATTTGGTTCTTGTTGGCTTAAAATAGTAACTTGATATTTAAATACATTATTTTGTTACTATAAATAAACACACCTCAGCCAAATATATACTAATACAACAAAATACACTAGTACATACTATACAAACATATAATACAGTAGTAATTTTTCCAGCACGAAGCCGCAATAAATAAACTGGTAGATATACGATCATACCATCCCTGGTTATGGTTAAATATCACATAGGGGGAACTAAATAAATAAAGGTCTAAGGTATATGCTGAACAGAAAAATAAATCTAAAAAAATAAACACAAAAATTAAACATACATATGCAAAAAAATAAGTTAAAACAAAATTTGAGTAAGTTAAGCAAGTATTTTGCATTTTTAATATGATTTAAGCAAATGGTAAATGTATTAGGCAGATTTTTTTGTGTCAGAAACAAAATATTTTGTAGGCTAAGGCAATCCTTTCATTATTATCATTTTAATATCATTTACAAAAACTGAAATGAAGGGGAAAAAGTTTTGTGTACAAGAAAGTTAATATCATATAGCATAAAAAAATTATAATCATTTACAATTCAAGTTAAAATATCAACAGAAAAAATAAATATTTTGATGCTTACTGTCTAATTTTCAAAATTTCATTAAATCTACTACATAATGTATTCTAATGGAAAATTTCAACACATAAATGACAAAAAAAGTATTGCTAAAAATATGTATATTTTAGAAAGAAAAAGACTGGTTTACCCTTAATCTCAATAAAATAACAAAATAATAAAATGTTTGCAATATTTTTTTTAGTGGCAATGACTAGTTATTAAATACAACAAGAAAAATGTATGTCAATATATCTAACTGATTTACTTTTCTAAGTTTAATTTCTGATTGTCCAAAAATTTTGAAAATTACCATATTTAACACATAGAACAAATGTTATCTAACTTTAAAGAAACATGTCTAAAGCCTGTTCTAAGAAGCAACTTACTATTTTCCTGACTGAAAAAAATTATAAAAAATACAGTCCTACTTTAACTTTATTTCATAACTTATGCTAAACAATAAAACAATTTATCTATGCCTGTGACAAGAAAAAATGTCATATTTTGGTGACTATGTTATAATAATGGCAAGATTGTAATATACATACATGTATGTTGCAGATATCAACAATTTTAATGCTACAACAGATAACAGAAGACCTAGTTGCCTTCACTTCTGCAAGGAAGTGAAATTTCTGTACATATCAGAGCATAGGTACAGTGCCAATGACCATAGAAAATATTTCAAGATCAATCACAACAAAAGTGACCTGTTCCGTTGGGAATCAAACCCGGGTCACAGTCCAATGCTCTACGTGTTGAGCTATTAGGACGGTACATAAAAAGAACTTGTTTTAAATTCAAGGCTTTATACTAGTGGCATTGGTCAAGTCTTCTTAGCTGCAAGCACTGTAACAGTTAAAACTAACATTAATACTGTCTATTAACTACATGTATTTTGATTGAAAAAAAAAAATACAAATTAAAGACAAGAGGGCCATGATGGCCCTGAGGTCGCTCACCTATATATATAGGCCCCCCCCCACCCCCACCCCCCCCCCCCCACAACGTTGCAGGGCTAATTTTAACCCAAGGGCTTTTATTTGCACAAACTTGGTAGACACCCATAAGAAGATGTTTCATGCTAAACATCTAAGCTCTAGCTCATTGGGCTTTTTAAAAGAAGATTTTTTTAAAGTCTTTACTATACACATATAGTTAAAAACAATGACACCCTTGGGGCGGGGCCAATTTTGACCCCAGGGCTTTTATTTGAACAAACTTGGTAGACACTTATTATAACATGTTTCATGCCAAATATCTTAGCTCTAACTCTTTGGGTTCTTTAAAAGAAGATTTTTTACTATATGCATATAGGGAAAATCAATGACCCCCTGGGGCGGGGCCAATTTTGACCCCAGGGCTTTTATTTGAACAAACTTGGTAGACACCTATTAGAACATGTTTGATGCTCAATATCTTAGCCATAGCTCTTTGAGTTCTTTAAAAGAAGATTTTTTAAGTTTTTACTATATGCATATAGGGAAAATCAATGACCCCCGGGGCAGGGCCAATTTTGACCCCAGGGCTTTTATTTGAACAAACTTGGTAGACACCCATTAGAACATGTTTCATGCGCTAAATATCTTAGCTCTAGCTCTTTGGGTTCTTTAAAAGAAGATTTTTTAAGTTTTTACTATATGCATATAGGGAAAATCAATGACCCCCCGGGGCGGGGCCAATTTTGACCCCAGGGCTTTTATTTGAACAAACTTGGTAGACACTCACTAGAAGATGTTTCATGCCAAATATCTAAGCTCTAGCTCTTATGGTTTTTTAAAAGAAGATATTTAAAGTTTTTTCTTTCGGTTGCCATGGCAACCAGAGTTCTGCATGGAATTAAATTCTTTGAACAATTTTTAAAGGTGACCACCAAAGGAACATTCCTGTGAAGTTTGGATGAAATTGGCTTAGTGGTTTATGAGGAGATGTCATTTAAAGTAAAAGTTTACGGACGGACGACGGACGGACGGACGCCGGACGAAAAGCGATCACAAAAGCTCACCCTGTCACTTTGTGACAGGTGAGCTAAAAAGATAAAACAACAAAACAATACAATATCTGAGGTTATTAATATTGATGTTTCCTAAAATGAGCCGCGTCACGACAAAACCAACATAATGGGTTTGCGACCAGCATGGATCCAGACCAGCCTGCGCATCAGCGCAGTCTGATCAGGATCCATGCTGTTTGCTTACCAACTCTATTACAAGTAGAGAAACTGATAGCGAACAGCATGGATCCTGATCAGACTGCGCGGATGCTCAGGCTGGTCTGGATCCATGCTGGTCGCAAACACACTATGTTGGGTTTGTCGTGACACGGCTCAAATGTACAATGATGAAACTCTTACATAAAAATTCAAATTGAACATTTGACACAGACTCTTCAACTTCCAAAATGAAGTATGGAACAGACATGCAGGTGTAACTATGATTACCAAAAAAAGTCCATATAAAAAGCCAGCCCTTCAAATAATACAATATGATGCTGATGATGTTGTTAATTTTTCAAGCAGACCTCTTGCCAGCAAAAGGAATCTTTCAGTTCTCTCCAAAAATTGATAGCAAAAATACAGGTTATAGCAAACATGAAAGTTTTCCTATGTAAAACCAAACATATCAAATAATCTATGCAAAAATGCAAGTTTTCCACTGTTAAGCAAAAATACAAGTTATCCAATATGATATAAAAAAAAAAATTCTTAAGCAAACTAAAGTTTTCAGGTTATGAAAGATTTATATTCAATACAGACAAAAATGTTATAATCCAATAATTTATCACATAATATTATGATTTCAATATACATGTACAGCATATTTTGTGACCTTTCATATATTTCATTTAAATGAATTTACATGAATGCTGTGTAGACAGACAAATACGCTATGAAATAGGGACATCTCAATACAAATATCTGAATGTCTTTGTATTCTATATACTACCCAATCCACAAGTCTAAAATATATACTGCTACTACTTGTTCACATAAACTTTTTGACATTAAAACATGCCTATATTATCATATATCATACATTTCTGTACATACAGTCAAACCTGTCTTAAAGTCCACCTCAGAAAAAAAAATCACCATGTAAATAAAGACCACTCTTTGACAACCCTTCAGCAATTAGATAGAACAAACTAACCCCCACTGAATAAAGCCCACTTGTCTATTAAAGCCATTTTCATTTTTTTACTTTAGTGACTTATACTCACAGGTTTGACTGTATGTGACATACATAGTTCTCCTTTTGACATGCATCAGTGCAATAAGGCAGTTCCTCATTAACAGTGTGAACGATTCTCTTGTCTCTTATAATTCTTATATAGAATTGCTGTGCACATGTTTTATGATATTGTTTGTAATATACTGTGTGTACATAGATGAGACTTTAATAAAGAAATATAAAATAACAGAATTTTTCTAAAGCAGTCAAAATACACAGAACTCTTTAAGATAATTATATGATAATCTTAAAAAAAAAATTGTTCTAATTTGTAAAGATGTTGTAAAAGGTATATTGTACATACATACATAAATTGTTTTAAACTTGCCAAAAGCACTTAGTATTCCATTAAAATTACCTATTACATGTAAAAATATGAAGAGATTATGAACATGAATATGACCCTTTGTAGAAAATTGAAATCTGTCATATTTTACATAAAAACTTGCAACATGTTGCTCAGGTTGTGAATTTTTCAATATGCTAATCTGAAACTCAGTATTTATTATCCCTTAGTGTGACTGGTTTTTAAATTTGTTGACATACTTAAAAGACTTGCAGCTTTGAAGTCTATCAAGTTTTTTTTAACATGCTGGATTTTTATTTTCAGTATCAGAATAAAATTTAGTACTTACTGATGTGTGTAAATAAAATTAAGTAAATAACATAAGAGGTTCAAGCACATAGTTTTTATGTAAAAGAACAAGCAAAAGAATGTGTCCGGGTTTTCCTACATCATCAATATTATAATTATGGTCATTGAAATTACTTCAGAATTTTTCCATTATGAAAAAAAAACAAAAAAACACACAAATAAAGGGCCAAAAATAACTAAATCGCAAAACTCTCAACAATAAATGCAGGGTTAATTTGTAAAAACTTGGTTGAAATTCTTTAAGCCATGTTTGAAGAGTAGTTTCTTTCAAAAAACATATCCAAAAAACCTATTTAAAGACATAAAATAAAATTAGTTTTACCAGTACAGAATGTAGTATTTTTCAGACTTTCAGTTTTTTTGTAGTTGTTTTCCCCTTTGGGTTCAATATGGAAAAGTTAAGAACGTCAAGTTAAGAAAATCATAATTACACAAAAGTCTTACGTATATTACATGAAAACAATAATTATTACATCATTCCTACTCCTGGGTACCATTTCCTATGACTATGCTCAGATAATGATTTACATACAACAAATAAATAACTATATATACATATATACCTATTCTTCAAACATACATGGTAATCAACAATAAAGCCTATATAATGGAATGATCAAAAGCAAAGCAGGTAAACTCTGCAAATTATACAAGGGAAGTAATTCTGCAAAATATACAAGGGAAGTAATTCTGCAAAATATACAAGGGAAGTAATTCTGCAAAACAAACAAGTGAAGTCATTCTGCAAAATATACAAGGGAAGTAATTCTGCAAAATAAACAAGTGAAGTAATTCTGCAAAAAAACAAAAAGAATTTCCAGCAAGGGAGGAAATTTTGCAAAAATATTAATAACTGATTGGTATGGGCATTCATTTTGTGACATTTTATGAAAATTGCAGTAATCAACTGGATTTACAAAGTAAATTTATCCACACATTTTGTGTTTTGCAAATGATGAAAAGGTGATAATGTTTTTGAGTCCCGTTAATTGTTCTTATATAAGATGTTAAGAAATCAACACAACACACTTGTGACTTGACAGCCTTAAATAACTGGCATTTTTTTTTTAAAATGGACACTCAAGTCGAGATGTGAGGAAAAAAAACTTAAGTGACAATCAATTCACACAAATATCAAGTGTCTCTATTTTTCCAATTCTCATATTTTTTGGCTGGGTCGGCTTGCTAAATCTTACTAATTCATGAAATTAGGTAATTTGGTAAAAATTAATCAAAACTACAATCAAAATTGTGAATTTTTAACAAAATTAAATAATACCAATTTGGGGAAAAATAAAATTTTCCCATAATTGGGAACCAGTCCTTTTACTGCAACTGTCTAATGAAAGGGAAAAGCAACACTATTATGATAAAATACATCTTAAAAATGATAAGGCATTAAATATTTGTTTTATTTTAGGGTACAAATTTGAAATATCCTTCACTACAACAAGAAAGCACCAAAAATTGTATTAATCATATCATGCTTAGCAATAAAACAATTTTATTTTTTTTGACTCCCAAAAGTGAAGTACTTTCACAACGACAAAATGCATGGGCTTAAACCTTTATAACCAAACATTTATTCTGTTTGTTCATTAAATCAGGTATTAAAAAGTTCAAACCATTTGCTGGACTTACTTAAATTAAACTAAAATTCATATTCAAAAAATTCATTCCAGGCCTTTCAGTGGGTGAATCAGATCCTAAACATCAGCAAAATTATATATAAAAATTTAAACATAAAAATAAATGTTAAATTTTAATGTCATTATTACTATAAACAATAAATCGATACAAATTTTCATTTTCTTTCATTCCACCCAAAATAATCAACCAATTAAGATATTGCTTTAAGCAGATATTAATACTTATGTCAAAACTTAAAATTCAATGATGTACACAATATATAAAGCCTATACTATATTCTCGGTTTACAATTTTAGAAATCTAATCAATTTTCTATAAATATGCTTTAATGCAGTTAGCTCCCTTGCCACACAGTAACAGATATAGCAAAATGTCAGGCAGCATGGTACTTTGTGCTTTCTTTTGTTGTTGTTCAAGTTTTGATTCTTGGCAATGACTATACTTTGGTGTTAACTCTTTCTTGAGGTATGTTCTGTTCCATCACATCATTATTTACTTCAATGGTTCTGTATTTATTGAGATATTCTGAATTCTTTCACTACATCCCATAATAGTTGAGATAACCTTTATCATACTACTTCACATGGTTCTGTATTAGTAGAGATATATTTCATTAAATTACTTCACATGGTTTTGTATTGGTTGAAATATGATATAGTTACATCACATGATTCTGAACTTCATGTAGTTACTTTCCGTAGTACTGTATTATAAATCAAATTCTGTATCATTTTCCTTCACAAGGTCCTATACCGGTTGAGATATTCTACATCTATTTACTTCACATGGCTCTGTATTAGTTGAATACACTGTATCTTGTTACTTCACATGTTTCTGGTTAAACAAGTTAATGTTAACTTCCCATATTTTATATGTTACCTTTCACATATCCAATACACATATATGACAACATCAATAAATGATTTTTGGTCACAATTGCTTTAGGACGTGTAATTCTAGGCTCTGGATTATCATTATCTACTTCACATATATTTATTATTAACTAATTCTAGAGACACATACAAAAACATATGTCTATTCCGCATATTTATGTCAGGAATACACGACATATATGCTAAACTTGCATTAAACACATATGCCAGAATATATTGTGTAATGGTCTCCTATGTGTATACATACTGGCACTTCAAAGGCAGAACACGTAAATTATAATAATACACAATGTCATAAAATTGTACATCTTGGTTTCGATTTATGCTTCGCTTTAGGGGGTGGTCTTTCATTTAATTCAAATATTCTGAAAAAAAAGAAAGAAATAAAGTCAAGATCATATTTCACACCTAACACCCGAAATATCTTTAATGGAATCGTCAATCCTGCACAGTGGACAAAATCATTCATTGTTTAAATTGCAAAAAAAATGTATTAACTGAATAGTGAACAGTGCAGACCATGATCAGACAACAAAGAAATGCCAGTTGATCTGGGTCTGCACTGGTCACATCGGTAAAGTATGTATCTGGCTTCTGGCTAGGGGTTATGTAAATATCAAAATAATTATACTAGGAGATTGCTACATTGTAACAAGAGCCATTCTCAGTGATTCCCCTATTGGCAACTTTGTCAGCATATTTATACCACTTTGTACTTTTCACTCATTGAAGAACAATGGTTTTCGATTCAAAGGCTTAAATTGGTGATTATCTTATTGCTATGGGTACCTGACTTTTCTCACAAGGTCATAAAATGCTTGGTCTACATTCATACGTATTTTGGCACTAGCTTCTATATATGTAATTTTTAGTTGTCTCGCTAACTCTTGACCTTCCTCTGGTGAGATCTGAAATACAGAACAAAGTGTACAATTTTTGGTCAACCTGCCGTATCAAATGCAATTTGGTGTGTCATGTTTATTCGTTTAAACGGGTATGTTTAAACGTTTATCATTTTTGCTAAATGCAACTGTGGGGTGTAAATCTCACTATAACATTATAACACTCATGTTTGTTAAATTGATTTTCATTGGGCAATTGTAATGTTTATATAATCTACATACACAGCTGCTACTACCTTTATATTTCTATATTAATCGAAGATAAGAGAAATAAGTTTGTGGCAGTTTATATGGTCATCATGTATAAATGGTTGTTTGCAATATAACTATTTATATTTGGCCATATAATCTGTCAAAATCTTTATTACTAAATTAACTACCCTAATAATGCAATAGAAACAAGTGCACTATTCGATATAAATTTTCTGTGTGTGATAAAATTTCTGTCATATAACGGCTAAAAGCCAATTAAAAAAACCTTTGTTATTATCGTACATTCAAATTAAATGAATATGGTGAATTGTCTCCATAGTTTTGGTTTATACAGTATTTGTTTTAGCTCGATTGTGTAGGAAGCTTGAAGCATATAGGCACAATCTCGAATCCATTCCTGGAACCAACCAGCACTGAGCAATGAGTGTTTCTTGCTCAAGGAAACAACTACCCGCCCCCAACGGGTTTGAACCCACATGGATAGTGATCCTCAGATTAATAGTCTAATGTTGTTAACCACCCGGTCATGTCACCATAGTTTTAAAGCATGACTCCAACAGTTTCATGCTAATTCTTATGGAAAAATAGGGGAGTGTTCTTAAAAGAACAATTCAATTCAAGCCATTTAGACCAGCCCAACATTTTTCTTACCTGTCTTTGATGTTCAAGGTCACATTTATTGCCGACTAGAATCATTGGAAATTCATCCCTGTCTTTTACACGTAAAATCTGTTTATGGAACTTGTAAATCTCATCGAAACTGGAAAACAAAACAAACCAGACACATTTAATTTAATGAAGAGAGAGACATGAATTCACACAATTCGGACCTCTAACTACATTTCCTTATTTTGCTAAAAAAAAAACAATCAATGTCAAGGACATATTGTTACAACGTACAATGTAACACTTCAGTTTGATTTGTGAAGAAAGAACCACAATGACCCCCTGAACAGAACTGTTTTTAGCCAATAATAACTCTGTGCATTTAGTTTCATACATACGTATATGTAGTAACTATATTTAAAGCATTCCTTTTAAAGTAGTCATCAGAAATCAAAGGCAAAGAAATTAGGACTGAGGTGCAAGTGGTTAATGGTCAGTGACTGTTAACCCATGACCAAACCCTATCCCTAGTACTACTATATCAAAATTTAAAACCTCACCACCAACAAATCATCGGCACTTAACTAAAGGTCAAATATGTTATATTTAAATAAATTGTTTCATATTATTGTCAAATCAAAAGAATAGTGGTTGGAAATGAAATTTGCAGACGATAAAATACATAAACAATATTAGGAAACCCCTCTTTACCTCTACATTATCTACCGGACCACTCTGTATATTAGAATTAGTAAAGAGGATGATTTGTTTCCTGATCTTCTATTTTTAGAAACGAATGTCACTGGCGTGTCAATTATAGCTCTCCGTATGCTGTTTTGAAGAAGGGTTAACTGTAATGTGATGTACTTTTCCAAGATAAAGTTAATGAAATACTTAGATTGAAACAGCACAGAATTGTTTTTCCAAGAGAAAATAAAACCTGAAGGCTGCTTTTAAGCGGTTAGTCTATAGCCAACAGTTTAGAGCCTGGTCAGACTGCTTAGATGTTCAGACTGGCCTGGCTGACTATACTATTAAAGTGTTAGCAAATTAAAGGCACTCTGCTGAGATCAAAAAGCCTAAATATAAAATTTAAATTTCTTTAATAGATCAACTCTGGGTGACTTAAAACAGAAAGATATTCAAATGAAAAATAAGAAATAATTAATCTCAAAAATCTGAAAATTGTATTTTTGTGCTAAATTACTAAAGCATGATGTGAGTGAAAAGCGTTATAACACTTTTACAATTTTGGGTCATTTTTCATATTTAAAATTGTTATTCTTGAATGAGACAAGTTAAAAGTCTAGACCTATATCAAATGGAACTTTAATCTTGAAAAAATTATTTCCAGTTCCGCCATGTCAAAACTAGAACTCCGCGAGTCGGATGTGTCGCCTTGTGAACAATGTAGTTTAGGGGAAATGGCCAGGACAAAAATGAAATATGAAAAATAACAAAGGGCAATAACTAAAAAAATAATACGTGCAGAGCAGCATTTCTGTACACTGCACTTCATCAATAAGATCTATCATTCTATGATGTTTCAAGTCCATAGCTTTCATACTTGAGGAGAAATGACCAGGACAAAAATAAAGTAAGAAAATCAACAAAGGGCAATTACTCAAAAATAAGAAATGCAGAGTATCAGTTCTTATGCACTGCACTTCTTTTTAATGAGATCTATCATCCTATGAAGTTTCAAGTCCATAGCTTTTACACTTAAGGAGAAATGGCCCGTACAAAATTAAAAAATGAAAATAAACAAAGGGCAATAACTAAAAAAATAAGAAATGCAGAGTACCAGTTCTTGTGCACTGCACATCTTCTTAATGAGACCTATCATCCTATGAAGTTTCAAGTCCATAACTTTTATACTTTCGGAGAAATGGCCAGGACAAAAATTAAGTATGAAAATTAACAAAGGGCCATAACTCAAAAATTAAGAAATGCAAAGTACCGATTCTTGTGCACTGCACTTCTTAATAATAATATCTATCATCCTATGAAGTTTCAAGTCCAAAGCTTTTATACTTAAGGAGAAATGGCCCGGACAAAATTAAAAAATGAAAATAAACAAAGGGCAATAACTCAAAAAATAAGAAATGCAGAGTACCAGTTCTTGTGCACTGCACTTCTTCTTAATGAGACCTATCATCCTATGAAGTTTCAAGTCCATGGCTTTTATACATTAGGAGAAATGGCCCGGACAAAAATAAAGTATGAAAATTAACAAAGGGCAATAACTCAAAAATTAGGAAGTGCAGAGTACTGGTTCTTGTGCACTGCATTTCTTCTTAATGAGATCTATCATCCTATGAAGTTTCAAGTCTATAGCTTTTTTAGTTGAAGAGAAATGGCCCGGACAAAATTAAAGTATGAAAATTAACAAAGGGCAATAACTCAAAAAATAAGAACTGCAGAGTACCGGTCCTTGTGCACTGCACTTCGGATTATTGAAAGAAGCATGCATACCAAGTTTGAAGTCAATCAGACTTATAGTGACTGAGTTATGCTCCGGACAAGCTTTAGCGGACGCCGACGCCGACAACGACAACGACGCCGACACAGACGCCGCCGCCGCCGACACCGCCGACAAAAGTAACCCCTATATGTCACCTTTTCAAGGCGACAAAAAACCTCAGTAGAGTCCCTTTAAGGCAATATAATCACATTTGGTTCCAGGAATGTTAAAATAAGAGTTAAAGTGTTAACATCTTTCAATTAAAAATTGATTATCTCTAAGACAGAAACCAAAGGAAAAGGAAGAACTTAATCAAGAAGCAATCTCAAAGTTACAAAGACATACTAATCACCATAAAGAAATGATACTCTGTACTTGTAATTAACATTTGTTCATTATCCACTTGAGAGAAAATGCTTTTTTAGTATGCCAAAACAATTAAGGTCCCCCTTAAATCATGGAATAACCTGTTTGCAACAAATTGGAATATAAAAATATATAACAATATAACCCTTGAAATGGTAGCTGAAATAATAACTTATTTATATCACCAGTTATATGGCCAGGCCAGCTTGTACACCTGTGCAGTCTGATCTGGTTATATATTGTTTGAAACCCGGTTTATGTTGTCTATATATTAAAATTTATTATTGTTACCCATACTAAGCTAAATTTCTTAAATGGACTTATCCCACTTTCACTCTGGACAAAACCATTTACCTTTTTTAGGGAAAATTTCAAAATAAGAACTGATTCAATACAGAACTGTTGAGTGCAGACCATGATCAGACAGCACAGATAGGTAGGATCGGTTTCAACCAGCAGACTATGGGTTCAAATCTCTTAAACTACCAACAGATAGGTAATGGTTCTAATTAAAAGAAGGAAAACGTAAAAAACTTATTATCTCCAATTATTGTTGAGTTTACTTTAATAACAATCTCTAATCTTTAAACCTTACTAGGAACTATCCATTAATAATAGTATAACGGTTTGAGTATCAAAATTTTAAAATGAAACACCCAATGCTGGATTGAACCTGGACAGATTTGCAGACTGACCTGGCATAGACTAATTATCTGTCATTTTCAATGATTAAATTCTTTGTCAGATTAGAAAAGTATGCTTTTTGTCAAAAGCATATAATTGTTTAAATAAAAATTTTAAAAGGGGAAAGGGGGAACGTAAAAAATTTTAACTTATCTTTTTTCGGGCCCCAATTTTTAAATTTTCAAAACTTTTTAAAAAAAATAACAGGGAAAAAACAAAATAACTATTTTTTTTAACCCTTTACAGGACTTACGCGTACTAAAAACATTTTACAAAACTTTTAATGCCCCAAATTTTATCCGGGTTTTCCAGTTGTAAAATGACTTGCCCATTTTTAAAATTTGGGAACGGGGTCCTTTTTTTTTTTTACCCCTGCAGTCCAAAAAAAACCCAAAGGCATTTTTCGTGAAAAACCCTAATTACCTGTGGGGGGGAAATTTTAAAAAATACTTTTGGAAAGCAAATTTTTCATATTAAAATTTTTTAAATTTTTAAAAAAAACCCCCTTTAAATTTTTTGAAAAAAATTTTAACCCCTTTTGGAACCCGGGCAAAAAATTTGATAAGGGGGTTTTTAAAAATTTGCTTTTGTTTTTAAAAAAAAATTGGGGTTTAACTTTGAAACCCCCCCATAAGACCCAAGGGGGCCCGGGGGGGGACCCCAAGGGGTTTTTTGGGCCAGCCCGGGGCCTGCCAAAAAAACTTTAAAAAATTCGGGCCGGGTTTTTAAAAAATTAAAAGGGGGGAAAACGCAAAAATTTTCGGGTTTCTGGTTAAAAGCAGGTTCGGGGGCCCAATGTTTTTAATGAAAAAAATTTAAAAATCTTTTGGGTAAAGATTTTGGTTTTAAAAATTCCCCCAGTTTTTTTTCGGGGGCAGGGGGAAACCCCAAACTTAGTCAAAAAAAAGGGGTGGATGGGCCCACGGGGGCTTTTATGGGCCCCCAATTTCCCTATTTGGGGAACAATTTTAAACCCACAGGGGAAAAAATTTTTTCCCAAATTTGGGACAAAAAAAACCCCCTGGGGGGAAATTTTTTCCCATGGAAACATGGGCCAAACTGAAAACAAAAAACCACCATTTTTCTAAAAAAAAAGGAAATCTTTTTTTTCTTTAAAAATTTTTAAATCCCCGAAATTTTTAAAGATTTTTTTTCTTTTTTTGCCCCAACCCATTTTTTTGTTGTGGGAATGCCCCCTTTATATTTTTTATCATTTTTTTATTTTCCCTTTTTTAAACCCCTTTTTTTTTTAACCCGGGAATTTTTCTTCCATTACAAAAAAAAGGGGGAAAATGGAAAAAATTTCCCCAAAACAGGGGCCCCACCCAAAAAACCTTTGAGCTGGTTGAAGGTTTTTATTCTTTTCCTCCACCAAAAAAATTTGGGGTCATGATAAATATTCTTTTCTAAGCTTTTACATATACAAAAAGGGATTAAAAACAATGACCCCCCCCCCTGAAAAAGTAAATTTAAAAAAAACCGGGGGGCCCCATGGGGCCCCGGGAATTTGACCCTAGGGCTTTTTTGGGGCCCCCATTTGAACAAACTTTTTTTGATAACCATGATAAATATCACTAAAATTAAAAGAAAAAAAAAATTGGATGTTTTGGGGATGCTTGTTATCCCCCCCACTAAGCACCCAAAAGGGCACTAGCTATTTGGGTTTTTTAAAAGAAGAATTATTAAGTTTTCACTATATACATATAGGGATGGGGCAGGACCCTAGGGCTTTTATTTGAAAAAACTTGGTAGACACCCACCAGAAGATGTTTCATGCCAAAAATCTAAGCTATAGCTATTTGAATTTTTTAAAAGAAGTTTTTTTAAGTTTTACAATGTACAAATAAGGAAAATCAATTACCTCCCGGGGCAGGGCCAATTTTGACCCCAGGGCTATTATTTGAACAAACTTGGTAGACATCCACTAGATGATGTTTCATGCCAAATATTTAAGCTCTAGCTCTTTCGTTTGTTTTAAAGAAGGTTTTTTAATTTTTTTCTTTCGGTTGCCATGGCAACCAGAGTTCTGTATGGAATTAAATTTTTAAAGTTCACTACCATAGGGACATTCCTGTGAAGTTTGGATGAAATTGGTTTAGCCGTTTATGAGGAGATATCGTTTAAAGTAAAAGTTTATGGTCCCCCGCCCCGGGAGTTTTATATGAAGCATAAAATTGTGCTATTTCAAAAGATTGAGGTATGGATCTCAGGACATTCAGTCCAAAATTATGATCAATGCTAGATCTGCAAATGTAACAATAAATTTGTTAAAAAAATAAAATGAAACATGGAATTTAAAAATCTATCATGTTAAGCTTTGACCTCTAAGTGTGACCTTGACCTTGGAGGTAGGGGAGCAGATGTTGTGCATGACATAACATCTTATTATTGAGACTATTTGTGCCAAGTATTTTCAAAATCCCTTGAACCATGAAGAAGTTATAGATTCGACACAAAATATACCCTATAACAGACTATGTAACTCTTTGACCTCTAAGTGTGACCTTGACCTTGGAGGTAGGGACATAGATGTTACGCATGACATATCATCTAATCATTGTGACTATTTGTGCCAAGTATTTTCAAAATCCCTTAATCTATGAAGAAGTAATGGACAGGACAAAAAATATACCAAACAAGAGCCATGTCAACATGGCCATCCCCCGCCGAATGTGTTTGCTCATTGGAAGAATGTATATGTAGTAGAGCGGAATTATTCCATTTTAAGAGGTCTTTTGGTAATGAAAACTGATGGCTATAGTGATTACAGATTTGAAACCTATGTGAATACTGATGGCTGAAAATAACAAAGGGCAATTACTGAAAAATAATGCAGGGTAGGTTATCATTCTTGTGTGCTGCATCCCTCCTCAGTAAAATATATCCACCTATGAAGTTTCAAGTTGATACCTCAAATACTTTTTGAGAAAAAAATTGAATTGAAAAATTAAGTATGAAAAAGAACAAAGGGCAATAACTCAAAAATTATAAAAGGTAGAGTTATCATTCTTGTGCAGTGCACACCTCCTGAGTGAGATCTTTGCACCTATGAAGTTTCATTTTGATATCTCAAAGGCTTTTTGAGTTATGCTCTGGACAAAAATTAATTTTGAAAAATAACAAAGGGCAATAACTCAAAAATAATGCAGGGTAGAGTTATCATTCTTAAGCACTGCACTCCTCCTCAATGAGATCTATCCACCTTTGAAGTTTCAAGTTGATACCTCAAATACTTTTTGAGATAAGCTCTGGACAAAATAGCATAAAAAAAACATAGGGCAATAACTCAAAAATTGTATAGGGAAGAGTTATCATTCTTGCGCACAACATTCCTCCTCAATAAGATCTATCCACCTATGACATTTCATGTTGATATCTCAAACACTTTTTGAGTTATGCTCCACTCAGGTGAAAAATTAGGTATGAAAAATAACAAAGGGCAATAACTCAAAAATTATGAAAGGTAGAGTTATCATTCTTGTGCACTGCACACCTCCTGAGTGAGATCTATGCACCTATGAAGTTTCATGTTAATATCTCATAGGCTTTTGGAGTTATGCTCTGGACAAAAATCAATTTTGAAAAATAACAAAGGGCAATAACTCAAAAATCATGCAAGGTAGAGTTATCATTCTTGTGCACTGCACTCCTCCTCAATGAGGTCTATCCACCTATGAAGTTTCAAGTTGATAACTCAAATACTTTTAGATATATGCTCCGGACAAAAATGTCGGAGGGAAGGACGGACGGAAGGACGGAAGGTGGGACGGACGGAGACTATTTCTATATCCTCCACCGAAATTTTTCGGCGGGGGATAATAACAGACTCTGTTAACCTTTGACCTGTAAGTGTGACCTTGACCTTAAGAGGTAGAGGTGCAGGTGTTGTACCTGACATATTGGCTTATTATTGTGAATTTTTGTGCCAAGTTATTCCAAAATCCCTTGAACTATGAAGAAGTTCTAGAATCGACACAAAATATACCCTATAACAGCCTATTTTAATTTTTGACCTCTAAGTGTGACCTTGACCTTGGAGGTACGGATGCAGGTGTTGCGTATGACACATCCTCTTATTACAGTGACTATTTGTGCGAAGTATTTTCAAAATCCTTTGATCTATGAAAAAGTTATAGACCTGACACAAAATATACCCTGTAACAGACTATGTAAGTATTTGACCTCCAAGTGTGACCTTGACCTTGGAGGTAGGTGACCGGTTTTTGCGCATGACACATCATCTGATTATTGTGAACAATTATAGCAAGTATTTACAAAAGTCCTTCATAGATAAGAAAGTAATGGACCGGACACGACATATACCCTCAAATAGGCAATGTTGACCTTGAATGAGCAAGTATGACCTTGACCCTGGAGGTAGGGGTCTGGTTGTTGCGCATGACACATCGTCTTATTATAATAAACATTTGTGCCAAGTTATTTCAAATTCCTTTCATAAATGACAAAGTTATGGACCAGACACAAAAGTGTGACGGACGGATGGACAGACGGACGGACGGACGGAGCCTATTTCTATATCCCCCTTTTTTCTTCGAAAAGGCAGGGGGACAATAACATAAAAACTTTCTCAAGATCCCCTATCTCTTAACTTTAAAATCAACAACATTTTATTTCCTTTCACTTCAGAATTCATATAATAAACAAATATAAATAACTTATGGACAAATCATCATCAGTACAGAGTTCACACAGGAAATAGTTCGACCACAAAGTATATATTTGTGTAAGTACAAAGATCCCCTATATTATAGCATGATTAATTTGGTAACTGTACTCGCCTGCCACCAATTAAATTCTAATTAAAGTGCAAACTTTCACTTCTATAGCATTAATGTCATGGGTAAAGAAAACAATATATATATATATTGCTGATCTGGTTTTTTTCTCTCCTTTTTTCGATTCTTCTGTATACTTTGGTATATATAATCATATCAAAGATTTATTAGTTTATCCTTTCAAAACAATTCTACATTAAAAAACAAAATTCTGAACATTTATAGCTTATTTGAATCACTTAAAAAGGCCCATTAAGTACCATACAGTGAAACACTTACACCTAGATATAATATAAGGAAAGACATTGTAACATTCTTCCAGTTATTTAGCTTAAGTGGTTCTATGGAAGGTCACTGCAGTCTTGTGTTTACTTTAAATTTCATATTTAAAGGGGGGGGGGGAGGCAGTTTAAACCACTTGTGTCCATAAATTGGATCAATCAAACTAAGCCTGCAACATTTTCAATTTTTCTATTTTAATAGGGGCTACCTTCAGGGGTTTCCTGAATAAAGTATTTGAAGTTATACGGGACATGTGGGTTTTTCCCAGTTAATCTGTAGGTACAAACAAACTTTTAATGTCATACCTTCACTATGCACTAACTGTTACAATAGATTAGTCAACCCTTTTGCTTATTTTCAAAACTGTGAAAGTTTGTTCTAAATTAGCTGGGAAAAACAAAATATTCTTAATTTGGGAGTTAGTCTATTCTAAACCCCCAACAAAAGACACATTTAAATGACTGATACCTGCTTCTATCAGTGACGGAGTACACCAAGAGAAACCCCATTCCTGACCTCATATATTGCTCACGCATTGCACTAAATTCTTCCTGTCCAGCTGTGTCCAAAACTGTAATAAAAACAATGTAAACAATGTAACCAAACAATGTACATGTATAGTCCGAGCACGATAAACAGAACTTTCGTCATGACTAAAAATAGAAGCACAGTCCATGAAAAGATAAACATAGGTAAACTACTGGTGATTAACCTAAGTTTTTCCATTAAAGATATAGAGATAGTATTTGAAGACAGTAAGTTGAGCCACGTCTGCAAATGAAATTACTTGTGGGTTCGAAACCTCGTGGAACTTTTTTCTTTTTTTATTCCAGATTCACTGTAAAACAGATAAATATCAGTTTGACAATGTACATATATGATTATATAACTGAAATAACACAAAGACAAAATGACGCAGCTTAATACAAGTCAAAGCAAAGAACGCGAATATCCCGGGCATAAAATATTTCATATATACATGTATATAACTGAACTAAAGTGTGTTATTGTCTCTGCTTCAATACTATTCAGACAACATTTTGAAAAACTTTGAGCCTCTACAAATTATAAACAAGAGGGCCATGATGGCCCTGGGGTCGCTCACCTGAACGGGCCAGTTTAAACCAAAGGGCATTTATTTCAACAAACTTGGAAGACACCCATTAGAAGATATTTCATGATGTTAAGTTTTTACTATACACAAATAATGAATAACAATGACTTTTGCCCCCCCCCCCCTCTCCCTGGCAGGGCCAATTTTGACCCAAGGGCTTTTATTTGAACAAACTTGGTAAACATCCATTAGAACATGTTTCATGCTAAATATCTTAGCTCTAGCTCTTTTGGTTCTTTAATAGAAGATTTTTAACTTTTTACTCTATGTATATAGGGAAAATCAATAACCCCTGGGACAGGGCCAATTTTGACCCCAGGGCTTTTATTTGAACAAATTTGGTAGACACCCATTAGAACATGTTTCATGCTAAATATCTTGGGTCTAGCTCTTTGGGTTCTTTAAAAGAATTTTTTTAAAGTTTTTACTATATGCATATAGGGAAAATCAATGACCCCCTGGGGCGGGGCCAATTTTGACCCCAGGGCTTTTATTTGAACAAACTTGGTAGACACTGATAAGAAGATGTTTCATGCTTAATATCTTAGCTCTAGCTCTTTGGGTTCTTTAAGAGAAGATTTTTTAAAGTTTTTACTATATGCATATAGGGAAAATCAATAACCCCTGGGACAGGGCCAATTTTGACCCCAGGGCTTTTATTTGAACAAACTTGGTAGACATACCATTATAACATGTTTTACGCCAAATATTTAAGCTCTAGCTCTTTGGGTTTTTTAGAAGAAGATTTTTTAAAGTTTTTACTATATGCATATAGGGAAAATCAATGACCCCCTAGGGCGGGGCCAATTTTGACCCCAGGGCTTTTATTTGAACAATCTTGGTAGACACTTATTAGAAGATGTTTCATGCTTAATATCTTGGGTCTAGCTCTTTGGGTTCTTTAAAAGAAGATTTTTTTAAGTTTTTACTATATGCATATAGGAAAAATCAATGACCCCCTGGGGCAGGGCCAATTTTGACCCCAGGGCTTTTATTTGAACAATCTTGGTAGACACTTATTAGAAGATGTTTCATGCTTAATATCTTAGGTCTAGCTCTTTTTGGTTCTTTAAAAGAAGATTTTTTTAAGTTTTTACTATATGCATATAGGGAAAATCAATGACCCCCTGGGGCGGGGCCAATTTTGACCCCAGGGCTTTTATTTGAACAAACTTGGTAGACATCCATTAGAACATGTTTAATGCCAAATATCTAAGCTCTAGCTCTTTGGGTTTTTTAGAAGATGATTTTTTTAAGTTTTTACTATATGCATATAAGGAAAATCAATGACCCCCTGGGGTGGGGCCAATTTTGACCCCAGGGCTTTTATTTGAACAATCTTGGTAGACACTCATTAGAAGATGTTTCATGCTTAATATCTTAGGTCTAGCTCTTTGGGTTCTTTAAAAGAAGATTTTTTAAAGTTTTTACTATATGCATATAGGGAAAATCAATGACCCCCTGGGGCGGGGCCAATTTTGACCCCAGGGCTTTTATTTGAACAATCTTGGTAGACACTCACTAGAAGATGTTTCATACCAAATATCTAAGCTCTAGCTCTTTGGGTTTTCTAGAAGAAGATGTTTAAAGTTTTTTCTTTTGGTTGCCATGGCAACCAGAGTTCTGCATGGAATGGAATTCTTTGAACAACTTTGTTAAGGCTTCACACAAGGAACATCCCTGTGAAGTTTCATTATGATCTGCCTTATGGTTTCAGAGGAGATGTCGTTTGAAAAGTGTGAACGGACAACGGACGACGTACGACGGACGACGGACACCGGACGACGGACGAAGAGTGATCCTAATAGCTCACCCTGAGCATATGCTCAGGTGAGCTAAAAAACGTTTTTGATTTTTTTCGGCGAGAGAAAGATAAGGGAGAGTTGACGTTTCCTCTTACTGCGCCATACGTCAGAACTGCAGATGCCTGCGGAGTCAGTAACTCCACTGTCAGACGTTGTGTCACTTCAGGACCACAACTGCCCAAGAAAACCCGTACAGATGTATTGATGCTGGACGATTTCCAGCTCTGTGCCATCCGTCGCTCTGTATATACCATGTACCGTTCAAAAAAATTGAAGAACTTAAACTTTCGGTTATCAGATTTACAAGACATTGTTACTGAAGCTGAATCATCCATAACATCTGAGAATTGGGCCGAGTGCTGTAGCCATTTGGAAAAGATAGAAGCAGAGTATTGGAGAATTCTAAACATCCAAGACGAATTAAACCCTGTCGTCATTTCATTTTCCGACGATAGCAGCAGCGGTTATAACAGTGACGATGAAACCGACACAGCCTCAGAAACAGGAGAAACAACAGAGACGGCAGATGAAATTTGAAATGTTGTATTCATTGTATCTATTGCATATCTTGAAATACATTTCTATGAGAGAAAAAAAGGTAAGAAAATTGAAGATACTTCACTTGAAAGTAAACTAATCATAACAAGAGCTGTCCGTAAGACAGCGCGCTCGACTTTTTTATTGCTTGCCAATAAAAAAAGTTTTTGCAGTAAAAGGCAATACAAGAATCTCTGTATTTTTAAAGTGAACTAGTTGTTTGATACCCTTGAATATTACAGCAATGTTTATATGACATAATTTATGGTAAAGTGAACAAGTGGATAGGAATGAATTTTTTTAGATTTTTTAAGTTTTTTAGTGCTTGCCTATAATACAAAACATTGACAGTTAAGGGCCATAATTCAAATAAAATCTTTGACAGAATTACCTTCTCCTGGACATGTTTGGGAATCATGATTGTAAACAAGTATTCCAACTTTCAAATTAATATCTCAAACAGTTCAGTCAAAAAGTGGACTGGTACTAAAAACTTAACCAAGATTCTAAGTCGATAAAAGGCCTTAATTTTTAAAACAAATCCTTGACAGAGTTACCTTCTCTTGCGTACAGATGGGGGTAATGATGTGAAATAGCATTAAAAGTTTCAAAGCAATATCTCAAAGGGTTAAGGCAATAAGTGGATTTTACCCATATTCAATGTATTTTCTAAGTCAAAAAGGGGCATAATTCTGTCAAAAACCTTGACAGAGTTATGTCCTCTTGTCTGTTGATGAAGGTCGTGATGGTAAACAAGTATGGTCAGTTTCAAAGCAATACCTCCAATGGTTTTGAAATAAAGTGAGGTGGTACAAAAAACTTAACCAAGCTCAATACACTTTCTAAGTCAAAAAAGGGCCATAATTCTGTCAAAAACCTTGACAGAGTTATGTACTCTTGTCTGTAGATGGAGGTTATGATGGTGAACAAGTATGGTAAGTTTCAAAGCCATACTTGTAATACTTCTGAAATAAAGTGGGGTGGTACGAAAAACTTAACCAAGGTGTGACGCCGACGCCGACGCCGGGGCGAGTAGGATAGCTCCCCTTTTCATAGAAAAGTCGAGCTAAAAAGCGAAAACACAAAAAATATATATTAAATCAAATTTAAATAATCACATTCATATTACTATTCATAAATGGTGAGAAAAAAACACAAACCTCGATAAAAATTTGTACCTATAAGAGCTTGTCAGTCTTGTGTCATAAAACATTTTGTGATTGTAGTGCTCTACCGATTGAGCTATTACGGCAACTACTACTATCTATAACTATTATCAATATATTGGTTAATCAATCTGGAGTGCAACCTTTCATTTACCTTTTTAGCTTCAAAATAGACTGTTCCATACTATTAATAAACATGACGAAAGTTCTGTTTATCATGCTGGGATTATACAACCAAACAATGTAAACAAATAATGTAAACAAACAATGTTTAAAAAGCTAAAACTCAACCTAAAAAATCAACAAATATAACATGTAATTTCACCTGAACGCAAGATAAAATGACAAGAGTAAAAAAACATGTAAAAATCAAACACTGGGTGAAGGGAAGTGTCACCTCTATGCAAATTAAAAAGTATTTTATCTATTATATTATTTACACACAATGAAAATATCATAGCACTAATAAGATTGATAAAATACACCTCAATAGTCTATACATTGACAAATTGCCTTTAAGATTATTTTTTTCTTTAAGGAAAATAATGGTAATTTTATCATATTGATTGACACTGCTTGCTTTGAATACTTTTATCAAGGGATGAACAATAGTATGATATAATCTATAAGATAATAACAACAACACACATTCCTTAGTTTACTGTATAAAGTGCAGTCATTTGAAGTTATTTCACATCCTGTCAAAATGCAAAAAAAAACAAAAAAACTTTACGTTTAAACAAAACAGACGAAAAAGTGGTCTGTGCTGACAGGTGGCCTCTTAATGCACTCATTTTTTTTGGCCACTTCAATTCAGCTGGCTTTTTGTATGACAGGGTCGGGGAATTCTGACACTTGTATTGCAGGTGTGATCACTATGGGGAAAACATAAAATCAAGAATGCTGTGACATTGGGTACTTAAATAATTATAACTTTTAACTTTGCCTC